AATGATTCGATAAGTAATTACCATTTCTACTTTCTCTCTTGAACTGACAAGTCAATTTTCATGTTGGATGAAGTATGTCGATGAAGAGGATAATATTTTTGCTTTTAACCTTCCTATAGACAGATAGCTTTATTGAAAGATAACATTCACTTAATTCATGAAAGAGAAATCTTTGCGAACTTCGTGTAAAATTCCTTCTCATCTTGCCACATACTTCTGTATTCCTCTTTTAAATGAATGAAAATAATTACTAAATAGCATCATAAGCAGTTAATGAAAAATGGTTAAAAGCAACTTTTAAATGTATTTGTCAACCAATAAATTGATATTTGACTGATTGACTGGCAATTGATTTAAGCGAAATTTTAGCCACGAATAGATGAAATTGAACAGAGAATGGCAGAACGAACTGTACAAATTGAAAAATTACAACATAAGCGAAACGTCATAACCGATGAAGTATTCCGCGAATTTTGCCAACGCATAAACATTAAAGATATTCGGTATGTATTTCTTATCCTTTCTTCGTTAAAAGCCTTACACATTTTGTTATTACAATATACAACATGGGTCTCAATTTTCTTTGATGACTGCGTTTCTTTCAAAAGTGCTCTTGTTAGCTAATGAAAATTTGCCCATTTTCCGGATGGAGAACTCTATTTCAAATTAGAAAAAAGAAACAAAATCTGCAAATAAAAAACGAATCTAATTCTTTAAGCCAGTATGAACAGCGTGAAATGCGTTTTCATGAAGAAATGCAGGACCAATTAAAGAAATTTGATAATGAATTGGATCGCGTGCGGAATGAACTGGATTATTTAAAATCAGAGGATAAGCGATGTAAATTTTTCGTTTTTTCTTTTTCATAAATACCTTATAATGGTGACACAGACTAAAGATTATTTTAATGCGTTTGTAGAAGTCTTCCACAGTGATTTTGAATGAACTTAGTTGTGGAAAATTGAAAGAAATGATGTCATTATAATTATCCGTTTTTGCACTGTGATGATTTATCCTCTCTCAGTGAGACATATTATTCTAGATCTATAAAATCATCTCCGAATCTTATACGGAAGTTTCATTTTTGCCGAACTATAAGATTTCAAGTTACTTTTGAGATGATTTCTTAGTGATATATCTGGGACTGAGATATAATTCGTATTTCAGTGAAAGAGAAGCAAGAAGCGGAAAAAGTAAAACGTTTAACGAAAGAAATTGAAGGTTTAAAAAAGAAAGAAGAAGAGGAACATAAGGTAACAGTTTTTTTTCGAGAACACCACTCAAATTATTTACATGTTTTTTATTACTTAACATTTCAGTTCTGTTGGTACTGCAAAAATCAATCCCATTTTTAGACATTAAAAAAGTTGGAACTTGAATTGGAACAAATGAAAATGGCAATTGTTTCGAAGAAAGCATTAGTGGAAGACAGCGATGCTGAAATAAGCGTACTTAAAAAAGCTGCGCAGCAGGCTGCTCGTGAAGTAATCATTCCAAATTTAGTTTGCTTTTGTGAATAACGAATTACCTAAATTTGGATTAGTATCAATAAAAACCTGTAACTACCTGTAATTAGCCAAAATATAATTATTTTAGAATACCACGGAATCAATTGCTGTTACAGTAAAATAATTACAGGAAGAGTAGTTGCTGATTCAGATGGGATGAAATTAAAATTCATCATCGAAATGATTTCTGCCTCTGACGTGAGATTATTTTATGATATAGTCAACTTTTAATACATTTGCAATTTTACTGCATCAATTTTGTAGGTTGCCGCAGCAGAGAAAACAGCCGCAGCACTGGAACAAACCATTCTGAGACGGCGCCATCAACGTCATTCATTACTGCATCAGTGTAAAATGAATGGTATCAATTTACCACTACTTCGAGGATCTCTTGCCGATATTGAAATCGATGATACCATTCCTTCAAGTAATTTTTTTTCGTGTTTTCACTTTCCAGTGACTTTGTTGTTCGAATTACAGCACTTCAACTAGCGACTGAATTAAGGGAAATGGTTGAAGCTGAGAATTGTGGGTTTCTGTTTGAATACGTTTTAAATAGTAATCGCGCTGTATCAATAACTTTGATAATAATTGACATAAAAATAATAAAACAAAACAATTACCAATAGCTGTATTTTTCTCCCATCCTATCTTTCGTTTCTCGTCACCTTCTTTTTACTGAAGAAATAAAAACTAATTCCAAGTCTAATGCCCAACATTATCGGCAACAGCACATTTAGATTGATGGTATCACCTTGGATTACATAATGAGAATATATATCATATTTTCATTGTGTGATCCGAACTATGAAAAGTATTATTCGTTTGATCAAATCAGAAATTTGTCGATAAAATCGTACATAGTCAACCAACAGCTGCTTTTCAATCATTTTAATTGAGGAGCATGATTGAAATTTACACAGATGTGAAGCATAATCACGAAATTGCTTTCTCCATTAGGTACTACTGGTGCAAGTGTAAGTGTGAGTGATTCACAACAACTCTCACATGAACAGATGGATCGTGAAGCACAAATACAAGTCGATTATCGAACACTTCCAATTAGTCTTAGAGAGGTATGTAATCATAAAATATTCGTATGATATTTCAAAATTATTTATTAAGTTGCTGCCTTAAAAACTATCATCTCCTGGAACAAAAATGGAAGTTGAGTGTATCAGCGAGTAGTAGCCAGTAATGAGGAAGGAAATAATGAAAAGAATGGCAGAGAGATAGAAAAATGAAGAGAAACGGAGTGAAAGAATACGCGAACTTTTCTTATTTCTTTGAGAAATTTTACGAACATTGATTTCAGTTTGATAATGATGAGGAGGTAAAGAAGGCACTTGATAAACTGAACAAAGAAGTTGGTGATTCACAAGCAAAAATTTCACGAATTAGTGCACCGAATTTAAAAGCGAAGGAAAGGTTGGTAAAATTAGTGTTAATACTACTTTCAATATTACTCAAAAGTTCATGCATTCATAATACACTAAATATTTTGTACTGCTTGGCGAGATAAGCAAGCGCATATATTTGATGCATCCTTTAATTCTCCATATCTTGAAAATTTAATCAATTCCCCTCTTAATATAGCTCCAACTACTTGTACGCCAGTATTCATTTTAGCTTGTATAATTGGCGATGTTATTTATAAGCAGTAATTTTGTCCGGATTATCCTTAAACAAAAATGAATCTGATGACTATTCTATTTTCTTTGCTATTTGTTTATTTCTAGAATGGAAATAGTAAAAGAGAAGGAAGCTGAAACAACAGAAGAATGCGAATTGGCCAGGAAAAAAGCGCGAAAGGTTCGTCTGTTATTTGAAAAAGTTAAAACTGATCGCTACCATCGGTTTCACGAATGCTTTGAACCTGTTTCGCAGAAAATTGACGACATTTACAAGGTTGATTTTTTGCTTTGCAATTTCATAAATTATAATTCCTTCTTTTTACCTAATTTTAGATCGATGATTTTTATGCTTAATTTGGAGAATTACTCAGAATTTCAATGTCAGCTTTCTCACAAATTCACACGTGAAATTAATATTTTGGAATCCAAGTCTTTTACATCTTTCATTTTTCTTTTTCATAGTTTTATCGCTTTTTAGAAGCTCAGTCGCAATGAGAGTGCACAAGCATTCCTTGGTGAGGAAAACATGGAGGAGCCATATCTTGAAGGTATTGCATACAATTGTGTAGCACCTGGTAAACGCTTTCGACCAATGGATAACTTAAGTGGTGGTGAAAAGACTGTTGCTGCGTTAGCGTTACTTTTCGCTATTCATGCTCGCAGTCCATCACCGTTTTTCATTTTGGATGAAGTTGATGCTGCATTGGATAATACTAATATTGGCAAGGTGTGATTTTCTAGAATATATTAATCGAAATGTTATGGGTTATACTGCGAAGTGCGAGAAACTTTTCTCCGGTCACACTGTCAACATTCCTTCCAGTCTTTTTGTCATATGTAATTATATTTTTGTCGTTGAATATTACCTTTTTTTGATTAGGTAATTGTCAGCTGTGTAAAAACTGAAAGGAAATTTTCGTAGTTGAATTTCCAAAACACTACTTTGATTACTTCAGTGTAACAATATGTGTAGCAATTAATTTGTTCGTGGTAAGTTCCAGGTCGCAAATTTTATCTGTGAGCGTGCACGTGTCGACATGCAGCTAATCGTCATATCGCTGAAAGAGGAATTTTATAATAAAGCTGATGCTATCATCGGTATCTATCCACATCCGTCCAGTTACACCGTTTCCGGAATGCTAACACTTGATCTCACGCCATATAAACAGCCGCAATCTGATTCATACGTTGAATAAGTTTTGTTCAATTCCTGTTATCTATATAAGTTATACCACGTTAACACGATGTTATCAATTTATCAATGGTACTAGGCTTTCTTTTCAGTCAGAAACTCAAGAAGGACTCGCTACTTTCAAAAATGACTTATGTCTTATAACCTAAATGTCTCTTTGTGAGGAAATTTATTTTAATTTTATGCATTTTTCGTGAGTCTTCATTATTTCATTGTTTACAAATTGGTACTTCAGTAAACTACATACATGTGCGTGTATGTGTGCTCATTGCTAATATTCTGTTATCATTCCGCAGCTGCATACAACGTTTTGTGTGTAGAGCACTTCATGTCGAATTATTTTCATTCTCCCCCTTCCAAGAATAACCAAATCATGTTTTCATATTTTGTTATAGAATTCATGTGTATAAGAAATTGTTTTTGCTTCAGTGTTTGATAAAACATCTTTTTCAGTTGTTCTGTATTCCAACCCAAGATAATTTGAAGCATTCATCTTTATTAAATATTATCCATACTAACATAGTGGACAAGCTTCAGTAAAAATGAGAAATTCCTGACGGTATTTATTTGATGGTGGGATAATTAACCCATCATTTTTTTGGATTCTGGATAACTATTTTCTTCCTGTTCCTCTCGTCTCTCTCTCTCTCGCTTGAATTTTTACAATTATAAAGCTGTATCAACTGCTAATATATTAAAACGCTGTAATTCTCTGTACTGCCAAAACTAATGAGGATTCTGTGTCTGAAAAAGATGAACTCTCAAGCAAAAAGTAAATTAAAATAGTGGATACAGTTTCTTAGCATGTGCGGAATCAGTGCTATATGCTTATACTTACATCGAAGATATAATCAATTTAATTTCATTAATGCGAAACTCTATAACTGCTTAATCGGAAAAATGAACTAACATTCTGTGGGGATTCCGTGCTCTGTAATAATTCTCCAGAATCGTGGAAATATCGCACGTTGAATGACTGAATATCGCATAACTGCTGCTGTATTCGTAGCAAATACCCATCGATCTCCAGAAGCTGCGTCATTCCAATATTTTCCAGTAAGCGTTCAATATTCTACGACCCGATAATTCAGTACTAACAAGAAATTTTTATTGTAAAAAAAAGATACTATAGCAAAAGGCTCTTCAAAAGAAAGATGTCACGATTAATTTATTTAAAAAATTTGTTGAACAATTCCTTTGTATATGTCGACATGTATATATGTCCACATATACAGAGGAACTGTCGGCCATGAACAAATTTACCTGCAAATGCCTTCTGATAGAGGCCCGTAGATTCTCTGGGTCTCGTCGGATTTTTTCATCTGACAGCACATCGGTTGGTAACTCTGATTTTTCGAAGCAATCCTAAAATTTCAACAAAAGATAACCGTAGAAGGCCTTTTTGAGACGGTCCCAATGTAATTAAGTTAGTCAGCTCAAATACAAAGCTCACTAACTTATATGAAAGCGAAGATAACCCTAGAGTTCTACGGCAGATTTCAATTAACTCATTCTTATTCTGTCCTGCCCAACCTCATTTGAAAACTTTATTCCTTCAAAAAAAAACCTCTTTGCATCCAATTTCGTTGTTATCTTCTGCTGCTAACAAAATACGACCACCTGAACTTATTTTCTGCCGCTTCTTGAACGGTTCAGAAAGACTTAATTCGTCAATAATTTCTACAGCTTCACTATTTTCATATGGACTTTCTGCCTGAAGTACGATTTACTATCATCGAATTGCATTATCTTAATGCGTACAAAGATCACTTTATTATTTATTTGCTTTTTATTGTTCTGAAGAAGACCTTGACGAAAATTAATGACCTAAAAATTGATGCACGAGAAACGTTGCGACATATTTCTCCGGTGTGGAAATTGCATCCCACTATTGAGCAACTATATATCTTTTGTTTTTCGATGAGGTCACAAAAACTGAAGCACTACTAACCCGTTCAAAAATTTCGTATTTCACGACCTGTTCTTCATCTAGCAATTCATGTTCTCCTAAATGAATGTCAAGATCAGCCAATGTTAACGCCGTGAAATTGCATCCCACTATTGAGCAACTATATATCTGAGAGACTTTTTCCTGTCTCGCCTGAAATAAAAATTATTACCATAACATATGTAAGGAATATCCTACATAGTTGGCAATTACATGATATTGCTAACAGCAGGAAACCTATAAGTTATAGTTATAGAATTAAACAGTAAAATTAATAACTTCAAATACCGGCAAAAATATGTACCATATAATCAGCTCCAGAAGTACTTGCCATATCAGAACTAGCAGCAACAGCACCAGAAGCAATTTCATTGATGTTCTGGTTAACGTCAAGCCTTAAAAGAGCTTCATATTCACTATCGCTATCATCGGATAACGGTATTTCCTAAAATAATGCTAAACTTTTATTCATCCTTGATTAGAGTAACGATGAAATGGAAAGACTCATCCTTATTGGCCAATAAACGACAATTTTCTAGGAGATTTCGATGCTTTTAGAATACATGTCCCGCATGCTTTGACATTATCTAACTTTTACTGCCTTCACGTCATAGCCAAGAACTTAGTTTAAATTTTAAGAGAGTGACTTTATTTATTATTAACAAATAGTTCACAATTAAATATTCTCTCTAACTATCAACATATCGTAAGAACGAAATAAAAGAATGATAGAATCAAAAATATGAGATATTTTCGGATCCGAGAGATATTTCATTCTCTTACCGGATCCTGAGGCCAAGTTCCTGGTTCTTCGACTACATAAATGTTCGAAGAACATTCCGATGGAGCGATTGTTACATATCGGTAGTTCATATCTTGATTAGTGGCATAATTTAGAGTTTTCCGAACTGGAACACCAGAGTTCACAGGTCTTTTGGCCAATATTCTGAAAAAGTTTCCGATATGAAATGTGGAAATGGTGAAATATTACGACAGCAAAAAACTTTTTGGAACCAAATTAACATTTGGTTTCAAAATTAAATATAAATATCGAACGATGTAAATGCTGTTTTTTCGAGAAAGCATATTCTCAAAAAAAAAGAAAAAATTGATATTCTTACCGCCTTGACAAAACAGACTGTCGATCCGATAAAGGATTATTTGCAAAATCGCAGATGTGTGGTGTTTTCGGATAATCTGGATGTACCATAAAACGTCCATTACGTACTACAATTCGAGCCGGAGGTGGATAATGAACAGGCGTTTCTTGTCGCTTACCTTTATCTTTCAGCTTTCGACAAAGTACGCATGTGTAATACATTGTTATATCGTTTGTTGGCATCTTCAAGGCCCATTCAGAAATTTTATTCGGAAAACGTCTGCTTTCGAATAAGATGATAGATTTACGTCGCTGACAAGAAAGAGCTTCGTATATAACCGGACCATAATCTCCTTCAGTGTCGCAAGCAGGATTCGGCTCTAGATCTTTCTAAAAATACTTCTGTGCGAAAGAAAAAGAATCAGCCAAATCGGTGATAATATAAACTAATGAAATTCAATATGGGAACAGGCAAGAACTTGAAGACACAGATTTTCAAATTACAAGTAATACAAATCAGGTGACAGGAAACCGACATTTGTAATTAGTAATGTGTAAGATGTCAGTGTATAGTTTTCAAAAAAATTTTATACTAGCAAGGAAATTTCATGATTTCAAAATTAAAATCAAATACAAATGACCTTTCTTTTTATCCATCTTTTATAGTCTTTCAGCTACCTTTTTACAATACTTTTCGGTATTTATTTACCTGTCCAGTTGAGTAAACCGAAGCATTTTGTGTCGGACTTTCGTCCGACAAATTCGATACACTCAGTTCATCGTTTCTTTCTGCAGGAACAAAATATTCCGTCTTAAAATCTTTAAAATAACGAAAGAATGTAATGCATGAGACAAGAAGGACAATTAAGAAAGTTCCAACATTAGTTGAAAATTAGATTATATTTAAATGAGTATGCTTTTTAACTAATCATATCAAACTTTAAGTTATTCATCAATACGAACACTCGTCCAATTCTTCGAAATTTAATTTATAATGCCAGCCGTAAAGGTATTACCAATAAATAAATAAAAAGTTTAATGAAAAAATTCTTACTCATGCAGTTTTACAATTCAAAAAAGAAATTTTCAGTAACATCAAAATAATTTGATAATTTTATCACGTATTACTTATCTGATGATCGCTTTAAATAGTAGCTTAAATTTAATAGCACCTTATTCCCGAAACTGACTAAAACTTCGTCGAGTCTCTCTGCTGGTATCACGCCGTCTTCGTTAACTTGTAATATAATCAGTCAGTAGGTAAACTAATTTATGATTGCTTAAATACTTCAAATTTAGAAAATGCTAACACGCTTTAATGTAATTGGGAAGATCATTTTTACTACTTCAAACAATGAATTACAAGTTAAATTTTTTCACCTCAAAGGCTGCCGAATCAATTTCATTGGAATCATTCACAGCGCGATGCTTTTCGCTTATATGAATGTCGATCATACCGGACGCAAATGTCAAAAAATCACAACCCACTACTGGACATTCGTAAACTTTACGTGGTTTATCGTTTTGATTAGCAGTAATTAATTTGCGGCGATTGATGTATAATGATCGTATGCAGTTCGATTCTGACCACATACGTCCATGTACACGTCCCAATACCATGTCCTCCATTTGTTCTATTTCTTCAGCACTAAAAAAAATTTTATCAGAATAAAGATTTTGATCACATGTTGATGGCTCTCAATCCAAACAAATCATAGCAAATATCATCTCTATTTGAACTATGATCACTGTCAAAAATAGCCAGTCTTCACTTTTAAAATTTTCGACAGTTTTTAATGTCAGCTTCTTATTCTTACATTTATCACAAGCATACTGAAAAAAATCGCTGAAACATCAAGAAACTAACAAGCACGAATATCTATTTACACGGCTACATCAAACAAGAGGAAAAAATATTTTCTAACATCAAAATAATTGGATAATTTCTTTAAACATTACTTATAATCATCGCAACTGGTACCTCAAGTTTGAATATTTTCCATCTTCTCTAAAACTGATTAAAACTTGGTCGATTTTTTCCCGTGGTGTCATACCATCCTCGCTAATTTCCGTTCGTGCACGAATCATTGCACGTCGTGCAAGGACAACTGCACGATCAGACATTGGATTTTCACCGAATCCGCATATGTGCGGTGTACGAGGATAATCCGGATGTGTAAGAAAACGTCCATTACGAACCAAAATACGAGCCGGTGGACCAAATTTTACCGGTGGTATTAAGCGCTTACCACGATCCTGCAAAACAGATATTAAAATAATCCAATTATTTCTCTGTAAATCACAAAATGAGTCAAGCAAATCCGGTTGCAGCAACGAGCAAATCAAATGTTACTACCTAGAGAAGAAGGATTTAAACAATGTATTGCATGCATTTTTAGAAATAGATACTTTTAGAATACATAATACTGGAAAATAACTGATTTCAAAAAAAGAAAAAAGAAACAAATAAAGATCGCACGAATGATCGTAAGACGAATATGTCAATATATGTGTATTACATTGTATAGTTCGACGATTTACGTGATACTTTAATAATATTTAATGAATATGAATAAATCATCTAAAGCTATTTGTAGCAGATAAATTATACTAAACAATAGATTTACGTAACCATTTCGATTACAGTTATACTTAAACATTTGTATTACAGTAAGATTTGAAATCAAAATCAAAAAGTGACCTGAAGTCTTCTGCACAAAACACAGATGTAGTATTTATTATCTCGTCCTGGTTCTGCTCGCAATGACCATTCGGATATTTTTGTTGGATAAAGTTCACTATTGAATAAGATAACTGAATTGCGACGCATATTGGATAATTCTTGCCAGGTAACCGGTCCAAAATCTTCACCTTCCCATTCTTGACCTTCCCGTGATTTTCTCTTCCATCCGGTTGATTGTTGCAATGATTCCAAATGATCCATTTACTGCAAATAACAAATTGAGACAAAGAATGACCAGTAATTAACGTAATTAATACGTTCCTATGGACCAAAATATTTTGACATGTATTTTCTGTAACTCAAACATATGCGCCATTAAATTTAAATTAAAATCAACAGGAGAAGAACACCACTCGTCCGCAAATCCATCATTCTCATTCAGTCTGTGATTAACTGACTTTTCGGTAAATAAACCGATTTTGTGTTTTTCACTAGAATCTCATAACGTTATGTTTCGCAAAATTTGTCAATCCCATCCGTCTCTTCTCATATACACAGTCTTTCAGTCTTTCTCAGTTACACTGCCACAACTATAAAACACACCTTCTTGCTAACTCTCTCAATATCTAACACTGAGAATAACACTATTTTAGCAGAGTTTGTCGATCCCTCATGTCCTCTCCGTCCACTACATTATTTTCTCATTATGCAGTATAAGGTATTGGTGCCTCCTAAAAATACTTCCCGTCGAGAAATGATCTTTAAATTGTCATTGTGTAGGTACTTTTGAGTTTTTCTGGGTAAGAAGTGAAGTGAAATCTTAATTTCGGAAAATGGATTTTAAAAATTTAAATTTAAAATTCAACTGAAAAATTTGAATGAATGAAGTGTATCGTGCAACAGATAGTTATTTCATCCACGAAATTCTCAGAATTTAAGTTTTTAAAAAGGAGACTAAAGTATTAAGCAACTTGAATGTCACAACAATCTGAAGTTTAATTTGCTAAACAAACTGAGGTGATAAACACTGCATGAAACCTAAGAATGTTTAGAACGTAATTTCAGGTGTTAGTTTTAATTTAAGATGCTAATTAGCAATGGGTAGTAAGCAATCCGAAGAAAATGTATGGGATGTTCGGAATTTAAATGTGACAAATATCCCACGAATTTCAAATTTCATTCGCCTTTAATTGGAAATTTTTCCAATATTTTTTTCTGATTAAATTTGGAAATTCAAAATTAAAAATTTTCACATGCGCAATGCCAAATTCCATAATACTTCGTTATTTCTTGAAGAAAAGGAATTTATTTGAATATAAATAAGTGAGAGTAATGTTTATAACAAATGACTAAGGAATATTTATAATGAAAGAATAAGGTTAAGTTAGTGTTTATTCGAGAAATATAATTTATAATATAATTTATATTATGTGATAGGAAAGAATTGATAAGAGAAAATTCGAACTCAAATTTGAAAAATGCTCAATGTGACAGAATAAATGAATGTTTGCTCTTTTCCTGTTCAACAGCAAATTTCTGTACGCGATCAAAGTGAAAATGTATGAATGAAAAATAAAATAAAATGAAAAACTGGTTACAATTTTAATTATCTCTTCTCTATTTTTCGTTGTTCCACGAATAATAAAAAAGAAAAAATGGAATAGACCGAATATTTTTATCTATTCTGTTCCTCAACTTTTACAACTTATTTTTTCCAAGAATTTGTTCACTAAAATTTCCATCCTTATTTTTGAATACTATTCATCAAAAACTTGATGCCCAAAGTAAACAAAACTTTTATTATTTAATCATTTTAGTCATACCAGATTTAGCATGAAAGATTGACTGTAACTATCGATTAAAAATCATTAATAAATTTGCTCGATGATACTTTTTATTTTTTCCATCCCGACTAATTTTGCTTACTGAAATTCATACTCAAAAAATGCTCGTGCTCTTTTAAATTGAAATTTGAAAATTTAATCCATGAAAGATCTGTACTGAAATAGGAGGCAAACAAAAAGTAGCAGACAAACATCAATTTCACAGTACATGTATTTATTTGTGTCTGTGTGTGTGTGTGTATGTGTGTGTGTGTGTGTGTGTGTGTGTGTGTGTGTGTGTGTGTGTGTGTGTGTGTGTGTAAAAAGCTGTGTGGGTTGCTTATTCAGCAGACGATGACGATCCCAGTGGTATGTGACAGACTGTCATCGACTATTCAGAGATAACAGAACAAAACAAGCCTGTCATCATCAACATTATCCGCGTCACTCACCGGAAAGTCATTCCATCCCAAACATTTGTTTACTTCATCAGTTATGTTATAAAATTATTATCCGGTTGTATACTAAAATTCTGCTTGTTAAATTGAATCCGGAATCCGTCAATCTGCCGGTTTTCTGAATTATAACATCCATTATCTACTTCCTTCATTATCTACTTCTTTTCTTAATTGCCTAACACCTGTAATGTCATCTGTGTCGGTTGAGGTACTCTGTCGGTTGAAGCATTGATTAAATTATTTGACATTCAGGTAGAAAATGTATATTTCTTATCACAGTGATAATTTCGCTTTTAGGTTAGCAAATTAATTAATAATATGATGCAATGTGATAAGGAACTTGAAAATAATAACTATATATACAATTAGAAGTTTCGATCATACGATTCTTTCATTTCCAACAACAAATTGAATAGAAAAATTTCTCGAATTACTGTCTAATTTGATTGCAACAGTTCCCATATATACCATTTAATAATTTGAATATTATTAATTGTAATGTATTGAAAAAATTACTTATGTGTTCAATCCTTTCAAGTTTTAAATTTCATTTAATTTTGATTCATTACAAATTAAGTCGCATTAAAATTTCCATAAAAAAACAAATTTTTGAAATGATTGATATAGGCAAAAATTGATCGATTGTTTGATTTTCATCCATTTTACTGAAATATGCTACGTTTGTCAAGTCGTACATTACATACGAATACTTTTTTACTGCTTCACTTAATTTGATCATCACACTGATAAAAATTTACGTGCTATGTTCTTTTTTCTTACATTTGATAAATATTCGTAAAAATTCGAAAGTTTTATTATTTTATTCGTCTAATAAATTGCATTCATCCGATAAATCTCCTTTTTCAAATGAGTACTTTCTAACATTTTTTGCTTTTATCAATTCGATGATCAAATTAAGCGAAGCGGTAAATAATTGCAAAATTATTCAAATATACCTTTGAAAAATAAAACTAAACTTTAAATGTTATCCATAAATTGCTCCGTGGCAGATTAGAAATCATACAGATTAGTTCATATGAAGGAAATAAATAATTCGGCATATCGCTTAATATTTTTTTTGTCACATTCCAATTAATTATTTATTAATTTATCTCAGTAAATTATTGGAATATGAAATAAGCAGTAATTTCGCTCAATTTTTTCATCTTAAATTAATTTCAATCTAACATGACTGCCTTAAGTTCATTCATCCTCAGATAATTTCAATCAAACGAGCTTTCTATCGATGATAGTTCCATTCAACCATTAATTGTATTCTTTATCAAACAAGGAATCGTAATCAAAACTTCATACAAAAGTAAAATTATAAATAACTATTGATTGAAATTTGCAAAAAGTTAGCAATAATTTGCATTTCCTTTTTTTCCCACATTTTTTTATATTTTATTTTGTTTAAAGACACGTTAACTTTACCTTTTCTGTCTTACTTTGATAACTTTATGAGAATTTAAATTATCATTTTTTCTACAATTTTCATGGTTAGCCAACAAATCAGTTGCCCATATGGATGTCGGTCTGTCTGCATGGGTGTATGTGTGTATGTACGTGTGTGTATGTGTATGTGTGTGTGTGTGTGTGTGT